TTTGATGACGTTGGGTAGGTATCACTGTTGTGGTCTAAACTACTGAGCCTCTTGGGCTTGCCGATCGGAAGGTCGGTGGTTCGAATCCCCGCGACGGAATGAGCTCCCGTTGCTCTGTCCCAGCTCCTGCCAACCTAGCAGTTCGAAAGCATGCCAGTGCAAGTAGATAAATAGGTACTGTTGTGGTGGGAAGGTAAACAGCGTTTCCATGCACTCTGGTTTCCTGTTGCACCAAAAGTGGTTTAGTCCTGCTAGCCACATGGCCCAGAAAGCTATCTGCGGACAAACGCTGGCTCCCTCGGCCTGAAAGCAAGATGAGCGCCACAACCCCATAGTCACCTTTGACTGGACTTAACCATCCAGGGGTCCTTTAGCTTTACCTTACTTTTGACATCAACAAGAAAGTCCCAACCGCATTCTGCTCGGTTGCAGAATTGGCTTTTCTAAGAATTGACAGCTTCTAGTTAAGGAAGTCAGAGTAGTTGGTTGGTGTTGCTTGCTACTGAGGATTAAATGAGCAGAGGTTAAGTGGGGGTGCATCGTGGCTGAACTCATGTCAAGTGGGTCTGTGGCCTAGGTCCAGGTCACACCAGGAGCTGAAGTGTTTCATCTGGCCTCTTAACCTTTCTCCTTTATCTCTATGATTTCTGCTTGCCTTCCATCTGGGTCACAGCTGCTGGGACATGAATGACAACACAGCCTTGTGGTGGGTGATCAAAGGCCCTGTGATTGCATCAATAATGGTAAGTTGGAGAGGACAAAGCATGGCTCAGGAATGAGCCAGACTGTTAAATGAGCAGGTCTTCTATAACAGACCCTCTATTTTCCAGGGACAGTCCCAGAATTAAGAAAGTTGCCCCGGTTTCTGATTTGATTCTGGAATGCCCCGCTTTTCCTTAGGACATCCCTATTTTCTTTGGAGAAATGTTGGAGGGTATGGAGCTATGTGACCCCCCCACCCCCAGCCAAGGCGATAAGTATTTAGACAACCTTTAGAAGACATCTGAAGGCAGCCCTTTATAGGGAAGGTTTTCTTTTTAATGTTTAATGTTTTACTATGTTTTTATATGTTGGGAGCCACCCAGAGTGGCTGGGGAAACCCAGAAGGATGAGCAGGGTATAAATAATAAAATTATTATTATTATGGAATAGGATGGCCCTATTTTCCTCGGAGAAATTTTTTTTTTTTGCAATAAGAGGCTTCCAAACATGTTTGGATCCCAAAATGTTATCAGTTGATGGCTACAAGAAATTAGCCAAGTGACCTTGAGAACTGCTATCCTTGAAAAGGTATATCGTAGCTGAAAAGCATCTAAAGGGAAGCGCATTAATGACCATTTTTAAAATGCATGCCATGATTTTATTTCTTTTACAGATATTGAGGCACATGGTCACTCGGGACTTATCCATACTTTCTCTTCTCCCAGCGCTTTCCCCCAGGGAAAACAGCTCTGTAGCACTGAGTTGGAACAAAGGGCAATTGGGGGTTTCCCCAGATTGCCATTTGTTCCGATCTAACACTAAAGAGCAGGTTATCCCTTGGAAAAGGGAAGGGCAAGGGGAAAACTGCTTGGATCCTAGCTTTCTAGGCATGGCACAAGCCGAACTATAGAAGAGTCTTCAGTGCCATTAGTGTATGCAAATGTCTGGCTCCGTTAAAAATAACCTTTGTTCTCAATAATAATGAAACTATAATGGAGAATCATAAAATCACTGAATTGTAGAATTGGAAGGGGTCTCGAGGGTCTAGTCCAGCCCCCTGCAATGCAGGAATCTCAGCTAAAGCATCCATGACAGATGGCCATTTGACCTCTGCTTTAAAACCTCCAAGATACAGTCATACCTTGGTCTTTGAACAGCTTGGTTTTGGCTCCTGAATGTCACAAACCCGGAAGTGACTGTTCCGGTTTGCGAACTATTTTTGGAAGCCAAACGTCCGACGGGGAAAGCTCCGGCAGCCAATCAGGAGCCACGCTTTGGTTTGCAAATGCTTTGGAAGTTGAACGGACTTCTGGAACGGATTCCGTTCGACTTCCAAGGTACGACTGTATTCATAAATACTTTCTATAAAAGAAAAACGGTAATTTTAACCACAAAGTATCACAGCACGGAAGAACAAAAGTACAAAGATACATTGCAGTGCTGAAGGGATAGTCAAGTATTAACTCATACAAATATTCCTCTTACAAAAACTAAAGATTTATTAAAAAATAAAGTAAGTGTTTATAAAAATAAAAGGACTCGCTTTGCTTGGAGGTGTTCAGAGGGGGCTCCCCACTTTATGCGATTTCACGTATGTGTACAGGCACCCGAAACATAAGCCTGGTGGAAGTGGGAGAACGCCTGTATATCTCATTATTTTATTATTATGCTCTCTGTTATTATGCTCTTATTATTATTCTTATTATGCTGCGTAAAATGTGTTCTTAATGCTGTACACTGCGCTGGGATCTTTTGATAAAAGATGGTATATAAATTGAATAAATAACTAAATTAAATATTTGGTGGAGGAGGTTTAAGTGGAGGACAGTCAGCCACAGATCTGGTTAACTGAAGCTTCCTGCTCCTGTTCTTTGGTGATTCATGGGTCCCTTTTTTTCTTTACCCCCTCCCCAGATCAACTTTTTGCTTTTCGTGGGCATCATCATCATCTTGGTCCAGAAGCTCCAGTCGCCTGATATCGGGGGCAACGAATCCAGCATTTACTTGTAAGTACAGGGCACAGCTGTCTAAGGAGCCGTAGTTGGTTTTGAGCTCTGACATACACATAGGAAAAAGTGGACATGTGGCTTGGGAGGGTTTCAATTTGGGAAGGTCAGACCGGGAGAAATGCCTCTCTCTAACTTGGATAGCCAACCCCGGTCAGCTTACACCAGTCTTCTTCAACCTTTGGCTCCCACGATGTGGGTGGACTACAACACCCATCATCCACAATGGTCATGGATTATGGTGGTTGTAGTCCACCTTCATCTGAGAGATTGAAGGCTGAAGAACACTTGTATAGACAATACTGAGCCAGAGAGTTCAATGGTCTGACTCAGTTTAAGGCAGCTTTCTAAACAATACATTTTCCTTTGCTTGGAATATCAGGCTAAGGAAGAATTGAGATGAAGACGAAATGAAGAAAGCAAAGTTTCCACATACGTATTTGAAACCTTGGGGTTGTGTTGGAATGTGTGTGTGTATTCCATTTAAGGACAACATAGCTACCGATGTTCCTAAATTTCTGCTTTTATTTTGTTAACAAACGCAAAAGCTGATCCAAAGCACCACCTCTTGCAAACAGCCATGGCGGAAATCTTCTGCTCATATAGGTGATGTTTCTAAATTTATTTCAAAGCTAGAATGCCCTTTTTTTCCAGAGGAAAACCCATTTTAACAGGAGGCACAAGGAACAGGAACAAGGGGAAAATAAGCATGTGGGACGCCTCTTGCCATTCATGGCTGTCATCATCGATTGTAGGAGAATGCAGATATCTCTAACTTCAGTCAACTCTGCAGTTGTTACTGGACTATAGCAGGTGGCACTGTGGTCTAAACCACTGAGCCTCTTGGGCTCGCCGATCGAAAGGTCGGCGGTTCAAATCCCTGCAATGGGGTGAGCTCCTGTTGCTCTGTCCCAGCTCCTGCCAACCTAGCAGTTTGAAAGCACACCAGTGCAAGTAGATAAATAGGTATCGCTGCGGCGGGAAGGTAAACAGCGTTTCCGTGCGCTTTGGTTTCCGTCACAGTGTCCCATTGCACCAGAAGCAATTTAGTCCTGCTGGCCACATGACCTGGAAAGCTGTCTGTGGACAAACGCCGGCTCCCTTGGCCTGAAAGCAAGATGAGCGCTGCAACCCCATAGTCGCCTTTGACTGGACTTAACTGTCCAGGGGCCCTTTACCTTTATAGATCCTATCATCCCTGACCATTGGCCACATAAGCTGGGACTAGGGAGTCAGAGCCCCCCCCATTTTTTTGGAGAATATTCCATTGGCTACTCCTGTTTTGTGGCATTGAACTCATTGGGTGACAGTTTCACCTCCCCTGGGTGGGCTTCTAAAGGAGGAAATACATTTTCCAGTCTGGATATTTAAAAAGACCTCTGGGCAGAGAGTTTTCCCAGTGTTCTGCGCATTGAATCAATTTATCTGACACCTCCGCTTCTGTGTTGCTGGCTGATACCCCAAATATTAGGTCAGCATTCCAGTAGGGAAATTATTGGTGCTGTAATTCGGGATGAAGGGATGCGGGTGGCACTGTGGGTTAAACCAGAGAGCCTAGGGCTTGCCGATCAGAAGGTCGGCGGTTCGAATCCCGTGACGGAGTGAGCTCCCGTTGCTTGGTCCCTGCTCCTGCCAACCTAGCAGTTCGAAAGCACATCAAAGTGCAAGTAGATAAATAGGTACCGCTCCGGCGGGAAGGTAAACGGCATTTCCGTGCGCTGCTCTGGTTTGCCAGAAGCGGCTTAGTCATGCTGGCCACATGACCCGGAAGCTGTACACCAGCTCCCTCAGCCAATAAAGCGAGATGAGCACCGCAACCGCAGAGTCGGTCACAACTGGACCTAAAGGTCAGGGGTCCCTTTACCTTTACCTAATTCGGGATGGGGGTCATGCTATACTATCTCTCTGTAGGTCATGCCTACTTCCAGGTCACAGCTCTCGCCAGCCATAACTCACACCATTGAGTGCTTTTTATTACCTTAGAAAGCCTGCTAGAATGAGACAGTCTTTGCCATGAAAGGAATATACTTGTCTAATCCCTGTTGGGAATTTTCTCCAGCCTGGGGTCGCAGTATTGATACACAAGGGAGTTTTGTGTTGTTCCTTCCAACCTGGCATGGCGTATTTCTGCTTGAGGCTGTGCTGCTACGGAAAGTGAAAGAGCTGTCATTCGCCCCCACCCCACCCAAAATGGCCATTTGCTGCATGTTCACCGTAGAGCTCACAGGGAAGCATCTTCTGTCAAGAGATTTGTCTTTAAAACAGCTCACAAGGGATGATTCAGGGGGAGGGGGACCATAGCTCAGTGGTTTGTGTGTCTGCTTTGCATGCATAAGGTTTCAGGTTCAATTCCCAATATGCCCAGAAAGAGCTGGGAATTCCCCTGACCTGAAACCATGGAGACCTGCTGCCAGTCTTTGTTCAGAATACTGTACTAGATCGAGGAAAGGCCTGTCTCAGTACAGCCGTACCTTGGAAGTCGAATGGAATCCATTCCGGAAGTTCGTTTGACTTCTAAAACGTTCAGGAAACCAAAGCGCGGCTTCTGATTGGCTGCAGGAAGCTGCCGAAGCGCCGTTGGATGTTCAGCTTCCAAAAATAGTTCACAAACCGGAACAGTCACTTCCAGGCTTGTGGCGTTTGGAAGCCAAAATGTTTGGGAACTAAGCTGTTTGACTTCCAAGGTACGACTGTATAAGGAAACTTCCTCTGTCCCCAAGCACCACATATCAAATGTTCTAATGCTCCCATTAGCTTCCAAGGTTGCACAGCCTAGAGCCCACATGACGAACACATCTGCTGGCGATTTTTTTCCTATGTGTATGGTTAGCAACAGCAAAACAGAGACAAGCGATGTCATTTTCCTGTTTTCATTTGCTGCCATTTTTTTTATTTCTGTTCATGTTGGTTTGCTGCTTCCTGTCTGGAGTCCCGCAGAAATGTCCAACGTTGATGTCTGTGTTGCAAAGAATTGTCGATCCCGGTGCTACTTAGTGACCTTAAGCTGACTACTCTTGCAAAATATTCACGGCGCCTTCAAAATGTGCATGGTTGTCAAAATATGTAACCTGTGGTCATGCAGAGATCCCGCATACGGATTGTACTGAGAATATAATAATGTGTGCGTGTCTTGAACCCAGAGCTCCAGTGCATGTGCAGAGTTCCAGGGGAGTACACACTGCCCTATTCCTCTAACATCAGGGCAGAAGGGAGGCCCCATGCACACAATGAGGGACATGTATAAGTGTTGGTTTGCAGCTGTCTGCTCCAATCAAGGTGTTCTTTTTGGTCATGTGAGATCCAGGGTATTCACAGAGCTCATCTCTGAACAAGGGCTTCCTTCTGTATAGCAAAGAAAGGTTGTGTTCACAAAGGGGTATGGGATCAGAGCTTTGTGGGAGTGTTCAGGGAGGCAGGAGAGGATATATTGTTTATTAATATCCTTCCTAATTTGCATTAGCAAGTTCCTTTACTTAGCAGAGTTTTACATTCCCCTTTTAAACACACAGCGGGTAGCTGGTTGCAGGCTTGTGTAAGCCTCTCCGTATTAGATTCCTGGTAAGTTCCCTTATATCCCTCTTAAAAAGAATAAACACAAGACAATCTTATTTAAAGTCAATAGAAGAAGTTTACTCACATCATCAGTTCACAGTTGGATCCCTGAAGGCAGACTTAGTTACAGATATATAGCTGTGGATCTATCCCATATGGGGATAATCCCAGTGTCCTCTGTTGGCTGAAAGAGTATTTCTAGCTAAAAAGCTGCTCCAATGATGGAGGAAGTCAAAGAGAGAGAGTGTGTGCCTTGTCCTTTTGTTACCTGGACAGGTAAGGTCATGCCCACCTCTAGTCACATGTAAAGGAAGTATGTCCCAGCCAGGAGGAAACAGGAAGTTTTCGACTGGCTGGACCAAACATTCCCCCACATGTCTACTCTAGGAAAACAAGGAATGTTGTACTTGACTGCTACTTATCTATCACATCCCACAAGCTTCTTTGCATTGAAGGTAAGGAGGCGAGGCGGGAAAACACCAAAGCTATTTCAGCACTGTGAGAACATCCAAACACAAAAACATAAATTTGATAGATCGTATACTGTTACTTATTTCTGCCATAAATGTTGACTTTTGAAGAATGTGGAAAGCAGATGGGAATGAGGAATGGGGAAAAGAATATTATATATTATTCAATATATGAGAAGGAATACAGAATCCTGAAGGGTCAGAGAAGCCACAACATCAGAAGAAGAAGAAACCCACTATCCGTTCCAATCTAAAATATTTTACAGAGCGTTTCCACATTTTCTAGCAACACATTTCCCCGCTGCAATCCTAAGGACCAGAATCTCGGTTTACATTTTGCTGCTTGATTTGGCACTGCAGAAGCAGGATTCCATCGCCAGTAATATTCTCCCCGTCCTTTTGAAGATGGGGACAACATTTGCCACAGGAGGGTGGGAATGATTCGCCACTAAGGAAGATACCAGAACTCTACTACACAGAAGACCCTGCGGCTCAACTTCTGGCATCACCAGTTACAGGACTTCGGGGAACAGATGCTGGGAAATGCTTTTTTTAAAGCAGAGATCCTGGAGATCCTCCTGGGCAGGGTCACTTGAACCCAGCTGTATTGTGCAACCAACACTTCTATCTCTTTCTACCTCTCTGCTTAGCATGAAGCTCTTCTTCTCTTAGAAGGCTCCATTACAGAGAGCTGCTAAGCGCAGTTAGCGTGGCTGCTTGCCGCAACTCAGCAAATTAACCGATGGTTTCGACATGGGCGGCGGAAACTCCAGCTCTGGAAGGTTTCTATGCTTATGCAATCAGAGCTGTCCTGGGCAGAGGCCTGGGAAGGCTAAAAGCGGGGCTTTGCATCTTGATTTCTCAATGTCTAAATGCCACCTGTAAAGAGCTGCCCTCCCTAAACCAACTAGCAATGGCCTTACTTATTCTGTATCATGGGGAAGATGTAAAGTGTTATTTATAAATGTTTATATCCCTCCAACTAGCTTAAATATTGACATCGATAGCAAGTGGGAAAGATTAGAAACCTTTGTTAAGTTGCTGATTTCGGATTACCCGGGGGCAAAGGTCCGGCTGGTGGGTGATCTCAACGCAAGACTAGGGCAAGATGACTCCAGTTCAGCAACCAAAGACAGGTGAAAAGTTGGACTTCCCAAAACGTCTAGCCCAGAAGCCTGCCAGACCCCAAGGCTATCTAAGGACCAATATTCAAACTACACCGGCACCTGCCTTTTCAAATTTTTGAGGCAGCTAAGTTTACACAGTCTAAATGGGCCATTATCCCTGTGGAATATACATTCCTGTCAGGGTCAAAAACTAGTACAATTGACTACATATTGACCGACAGCGAATTATTAGCAAAAACTGAGCGATTAAAAGTGCTCCCATATGTAGAAGGGAGCCCATTACACCTGCAGGTATCCCTCAAAAACAAGACAATCTTTCTGAAAACAATTCCTGGAAGCAGATTTTCTGTGACATTCTGCTAAGTCAACTCAGGTCTACAGAATTTTCAATTATGGAGATACAGTGGTACCTCAGTTTCAGAACAGTCCTGTTTACGAACTATTTGGTTTATTAACTCTGCAAAACCGGAAGTAGTGTCCCGGTTTGTGAACTTTACCTAGGTCTAAGAACGGAATCTGAGTGATGGAAAGGCAGTGGTGGTGGGAGGCCTCATTAGGGAAAGCACACCTCGGTTTAAGAACGGACTTCCAGAACGGATTAAGTTCATAAACTGAGGTACCACTGTACTAATGCAAATATCCTGGGGCTAAGATATGAACCCTGGCCTATCCACAACTGTCGGTATTAGTGGCAGGTGAGCAGGAATTGGACAGTTCTATGGCTGCGTACCCACCATACATTTAAAGCATGCGATTCCCCCCTGGTGAATTCTGGGAATTGTAGTTTACCCACTCACAGAGCTGCAGTTCCCTGCACTCTTAGAAAACTACATTTCCCAGGATTGTTTTGGGGGAAGCCACATGCTGCAAATGTCTAGTGTACATGACCAATCTGTCCATCAGGTTAAAAAACAGGGGATGTTGTTTGCAAGTCAAAGCATTATAAATAAAAGTAACAGCAGTCCATTGTTTTTCCATCCAGCCTTTTTTCGCTTGTGCACTGCCCATGTGGATGTTTATTTGCTTGCCAACCCATGAATGCAAAAAGGGGACTTTCGCTTACTGTAAATCAACGGTTCAGTTAGCACAAGGCAAAAGCTTGAAGGTTAAGCCAGGCTTGTTAGTTTGGTGCACTGAAACTGGACCTGGCATGAACTGGGACTTGCTGAAGATGGTTGAATACATAATTCATCTTGGCAATATTTCCCGATTATAAATGCTGTTGTATTTAGAGGTATTGGAAACAATGGAAATGATCGATCCTTATCACAATTGCCTGCAAAGCCATCAGCCAATCTTAAGACTTAATTTTCCAAAAGCACGCTTCAAAGACTTCATACGACTTTTTTAAAAAAAAATAATTGTGAAATGTTTGCAGTTTTTGAAGTGAAAAATTTCGTTTCATCTCTATTTATTGAGACACCAGCTCCAATCGTATGTAGCAATAGTGTTGCACAATGCACTGCTATTGGGCTTTATCAAGTGATACATTCATTTTGTTACCTAAATATATTTCTTGCTCACCAATGGGATGATGTGCATCTATATGATCGGGTGTATAAAAATTCAGGGTATCACCGTATATGTCAACTTCTGATTCCGTAAGTCGCTTTGAGGTCTTTTCTTTTTTTTAAAAAAAGGGATTAATAAATATAATTAAAAATAATAAGAACAACAAAAACTACACATGCAGTTCTCAGTCCAGAGAGGGATTTGCAAATGGAAAGTTGCTGCATCAGAGCAACACTGTTTATCAGCTGCAGAAGCTGCAACTCAGGCTGAACAAAAACCCCTCACCACTTTCATGTAGGGCACCTACTTACACATCACCAGAAAGAAAGAAGAGAGTTTATGACGTCACCAGATTGCATAAAATTTGCATATGCTAATCCATATGCATAGGTGCAAATTTGGAAATAATGACTATCATTTAAATAGGAATTGCAGCACATCTCACCTTAGTGAGTGGCTGGGGAAACTCAGCCAGATGGGCGGGGTATAAGTAATAAATTATTCTTATAAACTTTTATAGTGGGGAAGACCCCAAGTGACATGTATGAGCAACCTCAATACTTCATTTCCTGCTTTCTTCTCTTTAAACCAGACTTGGACTCAGACAGAGGACACTTTCAGATAGCAGGCTAACAGCCCTTCTTAATAAATAAAATACATAAATAAATAAATATTTCTTTTATTTATACCCCACCCTTCCTGG